TTTGGTGTCAAGAATTTGATCACCCAAGGGATATGTGAGTTGCGGTGCCAATGAATAAACTGTGTACTGTCTGAATGTTGTCTTATTACATCTCAAAGTAACACGAACAGTTGGGTAGAGGTAGACGATAGCATCTATTCTTTGGGACCGCATGCTATGCTTGCCCCTGACAAGGGAACCCCAACAAGTCGATCCGGCCATTCGCTATGAGACTATGAAGATGCAGTCTTGAAATTTTCCCTCGGGACTTGCGGAACGGTTCCTTGGAAGGGAATTACCGGACCATTCCAATCTCTGCTGTGTTCGCATAAGTGGGGAACGATAACCGACCAGGGTACAGCATCGTTGTGTGAAACACATGTGGGGGTGGGGGGTTGTATGTGGTCGTTGGTGAGGGGGGGATTGTATTTGGTCGTTGGAGAGAGGGGGGGTCGTATGTGGCTTTGAGAGAAATTTGCGGAGTTGGGAAAAAATTTTCCCGGTTGTTGAATTTTCGCGTGATTTCTTTCTGTCGGTGTCGGTTGGGGAAGGGGTTGTACCAAGAGGTCAGTTTTTTCTGGGGGGGGGGGGCGTTAGCTAGACAAAAGTGCTTTGGGACTTATTGAGTTGGGAAAGTTGTGTTACATTTTTCAAACAGGCCATTTTTATAGAGAGGCGTGTAAGATCAAAATTGTACAGCAATGTTACGGGGTCCTTGCCAGTTTTTGAGCACCTCATGGATGCCATCGCTTCACAATGCAGGGAGGCGCGACGCAAAGTTGGACATCATCTCAATCTTGACTTGAACTCGGGTTATGGAGGTTTTCTCGTCCACATAACGATTGAGTACGGGAGGCAACTCGCAGTTAGAAGGAGCAATGTCTGTGCTACACCAGTGCAAGGGGAGAGCCATCCAGCTCTATTGCATGAGGTACGGCTCGAACTTTTTTGGACGGAGTGCGCTGCACTATCATGATGAGGGCGGGCTGTGCGGACAAATTTTTCCCTCTGATCGACGGTACGCTTTAGATCTCGTAGCTGCTTTGCGTACGCATTGACCGAGGAAGCAGCTTCTTCATCCAGCAGTTTCCCGACCCACAGCTCCCTCAAGCTGAGTTCACAGGTAACCCAAACCTCACTTCGTCATCAAAACTAGGTTCCCGCCTTGTAAGCATTACCGTCGTGGGAAGGTTGCCCGATGATTGAGGGCATCGTCCTTATTCAGCTCCATTATTTTGGCATCTGCAGCTAAGCGTCAGAGTGGTGGAAGAAAGAGTTTGAGGAAGCGTCTGGAGGGGTCGGTGCCGATGGTAGCGGATAAATCCTTGTGCTGCAGAGAAGAAGCAGGAAGCGAGTGGTACTAATAGAAAGACCACTCCTTGTGTATAAGAGCTTACATTACCGGTTACCCTCTTGGTAATGGGCAAGTAATTTGAGTTCGGAAAGTGTGACAGAACTTTCCCGTCAACATTATATATAAAGTGCTTCAAAGAAAAGCCAAGGTTTTCACGAGTGAAGGATTCCAACATGTGACATCGTGTCTCTGAAGCAGTGCGCTCATACACTATTCCACCGGCCGCTTGCCGCAATTTATCGTCCGAACTTATGCGAACACAGCAGGAATTGAATGGTCCGTAAACCCCCTTTGAAGAAGCGTTCCGCAAGTCCCGGAAAGATTGGAATTTAAAGGTTCAAGGCTCCATCTACATACGTCTCATAGCGAATGGCCGGATGGACGTGTTGGGTTTCGTGTTACTTTAAGATGAAGTAAGACAGTATTCACTTAGTACAGTTTAATCATTCGCACAGCACCCGAACTCACATATCCCTTGGGGGATCAAATTATTGACAGCAAAACGCGTGAGTGGAAAGCTACAGCAGCATCGAAGCGCTGTGTTTACTCGCGGCAATTTATGTAATGCGCGTAAGGATTGCGCGTGATGTGTGCAACTGTGAGGGTACATTTTATTTTACGTCGCAGTACCCTCCAAGGAATAGATGCGATCCAAGTACACGGCTACCATTCGTGTATTTATGTAACATCTATACAAATTTGCATTAAATTTGCCGAGAAAAGTGTTGGCGCCAATTGGCGCCAAATGGGGCTAGCGCCAGAAATGAAGGCCATATTCGTAATCAGACTCTCGCCTAAACCTACACCCGGAAAAAATGCCGGACGAGTTTCACGGGCGCAAGTTGTCCACTTGTTTGGGACCACGCGTCCCTTTAACTTCATTTGAATTAGGATACTTCAATAGCGGTTTTTTTGCGAAGATTATCGCTTTTGTGCGTAATCACAGTTAATATTTTCGAGATCTGCTTCTGCTTCGATTAGGAAACACATGAAACCTGAGGTGCAACCGGAAACTTGGGCACACCAACTACATCTTCTGTTTTTTGAGGACTATATCCCGTCGGGTGCCACCATTTTCAGAAGTTCTGCCACTCAGCGTTGGATTTCAGCACAGGAAGATATCTACAACCTATATTCGGTATTCTGTGCACACAACCGCTGTTATAAGAGGTGTTTGTTAGATGTCCGGCGGCCGAAAATCTCCATTTGACATGTATGTTTGGAGAAATTTTTGACTCGCTCTGTTTTGGAAGGGCTCTCGAGAGAAAAAAACTGTTGAGTTCAGGAGAACAACAACAAATCTCTGTTAGATGTACATTTGTCCCGATCAGGGGGTTCTTTTGTTTATGCTAGAAAGAGCTGGTTCTGTTAAGGTTTATTCGAACCGACTCCTGGCGAACGCGCCCCGTATCAGCGGGCACCCCCCTTTTATAGGGGCCAAGAGCTGATACGGAGGAGCAAGTATACAGAGCATAGAAGAGATCAAGCAGAGGGATAAGAGACTAAGAGAGTCTAAACGACCCCTCCCCCCTAGCAAATAATGGTATCAAGAGGTGAAGCGCCCTTAACAAACAACGCTATCAAAGAGGTACCTACTCTCTAGCAAATAATGATATCTAGGAGGTCGCGCAGAGCGAGACACTCCGCGCGCCCCGAGCAAAACGTAGCATCAACGCAATCTTTAAATGATTAACTAAACCCGTAAATCAGCGACATACATCAATGAATGTAGTTCAAGTTATCAAGACCTAGTCAGGAGGTTTTGGCGAGGTGCAACCCAGACGGTAGTTTTATAATCTGGTTATTTGGAGGGACGAATTGATAGTAGTAATCTAGTCCAACCAGTATGTGCGGCGTTTGATGTTCACCTTGCACTCGAGGGTTGCATATGCAGAGCTCGTTTAGCTGCAGGAAGTGTTTATCTTCCTTTGATAGTTTCACCGATGAAAATCCATTGGTGATTACTGGTTTGGTTTGCGCTCTTATGATGATTTCCATGCCATAAGCAGTGCAAATTTTGAGCGTTACAACACTGCTTTGGAACTTTTCTATATGCCCGCCGATTCCCGACATTGCACATATTTCGCTTGATTCTTTGGGAAGTGCGAGGTCCTCTGCAGTTTGTTCTCTGAGGAGGGTTTTCTGCGCTCCTGTATCGAAAAAGAACAATATTTTCTCGAATTGTTGCGTTCTGTGGTTCCACACGCTTCCCTCCGCTGTCATTAGGACGATTTGTTCTTTCCTTCTAGCAGTAGGATCATTTGCGCTGTCGACATCGACACAGGCATTATTGGCTGTTGCTCTATTTTGCCAAGGTCTGCTATTTCGAGCGTCATTGGATGGGCCACCATTCCATGCTCTATTAAAGTACGGACCTTTTTGTTCTGGATTATTGATGTGCGCGGGCTGGTGAGGAGTTTTTTCTCTATTCTGATTGTTAAAACCGTTCCCTCGTTGCGCTGAATCGGTGGGAAAACATACACTGCTATCATGCATCCGTTTGCAACGTGAGCAGTTTGCCTTGGAACACTCGCTACTTTTGTGGCTGTCAGCAAAGCACTTCCAGCAGCGTTGCTCTTTTTTCAAGATTTCTCGCCTTTCATTAATGTCTGCTATGGTTCTGCAGGCACTTGTTGCGTGGTTTGTATTTTTGCGAAACACGCAGATCTTTTTGTCCTTGTCGCTTTGTTCTTTGAAGGACCTGTCCTTTTTTCCCTGGTAGTCATGCTTGGAAAAACTGCGTAGTCTTGACTCTACGTATTTCTTTGCTTCGATTTCTTTTTCTAGTTCGTCCATTATGTCTTCAATTCGCGTTTCCTCTTTATCTTGGGTGGCGATAGGACGTTTTTGACGATGCTATACGGAAATTTTTCAAGTATTTTCTCCGCCCATAGTGCGTCTTGTGCACAACTAATGTCCTGACCTGCTGAAACCATTTGTAGCATTCTGATTTTGTCAAAGACGTTGTTACACGCGTCTGCATTGTTGGCTGCAGGACGTAAATCAATTAGTTTTTGGACAATTTTAGCTCTATTGACGGGTTGTTCCCATATTTTTTCCTTAGAGCTTCGATCATCCAGCTGTAGTTTTTGGTACTAGTTGTATACCTTTCACAGCTATTTCCGCTTTTCCTCGCAAGCTGTCTTTCAAGAGCAACATTTTCTCTACCGTGCTCAACACTTTGTTTTCATGCACGAGTGTCTGGAATATTGCCCAGAATTCTGGAATTCTTCTTCCTCTCCGTAGAATCTCGGCATTTTCAACTGGCTTGGTTTTAATGTGCGACATATTACGTCTTCTCTGTCGACTTGATTGTTGTCAGAGAAGGTCTTCTGACAGCCACACGGAGTCTGCGTCTATTTCGACTTCTCCTGCGGGCTCTTTACTTGGATCGCTGCCACCTTTTTTTGTAGCTGCTGTGTTGCAGATTTTTTTCGTGCTTATTTCGCACTTCTGCGGCTCGACGCCCAGCCTCTGACTGAGTTTGATCAATTTATTTTGATTCTCTGTAAGAGTTGCTTCCAACACGTATATCATTTCATTGGCACGGGCTATTTTTTCCGTGAACTGACAATCTCTCTATTTCTTCTATGTCGTTCACGAGATCTTTCTTGTTTGCTTTGGTTCTCGCTTCGTCGAACTCTTTTTCTAGTTTGTCGACGAGTGACTACAGGGAGTCCCTGCTTGATTTGATGATTTTGATTCCTCCAGCGATCAGATTTACCGCAGTGGAGTACTCATCATACTGTGTACGGTCGTCGCCTGTGGGATTTATTTCATCCGCGTACGCCTTGTACTTTTCCAGCAGTGTGTTCAGTGTTTTCGTGCTGAATTCTATTGGTTTTTTGTGAAAAATCAATGTCATTGCTGATTTTTCTTCTTCCTATTGTGTTCTAATGCTCTTTGAGCTTTGTATTGTCTCGTTGGAAGGGTTCGGAGGGATAGTTCTCCCTATTTGATTTTTTATTCCACGTTTCGATGGATTCAACCAGCGAAAAGGGAACGAAGTGGCTATTATTTTTATTTTAGCCGATGCACCAAGTTGTCCCGATTAGGGGGTTCTTTTGTTTCTGCTAGAAAGAGCTGGTTCTGTTAAGGTTTATTCGAACCGACTCCTGGCGAATGCGCCCTTTTATAGGGGCCAAGAGCTGATACGGAGGAGCAAGTACAAATCACAAAGAACAGAGCATAGAAGAGATCAAGCATAACTAAGAGAGTCTAAACGAAACTCCCTAGCAAATAATGGTATCAAGGGGTGAAGCGCCCTTAACAAATAACGCTATCAAAGAGGTACCTACTCTCTAGCAAATAATGATATCTAGGAGGTCGCGCAGAGCGAGACAACATTCATACTGCAGTTCTTCACAGTCCGCAATGGTAAATGAATTCCAGCAAAAATCAACCACAATGTTTTAAATGCAGCTGGAATGCCCTCAAGATCATTGGCAGATGTTTATGCTTCGAATCAACCGCAGTATAGTATAGTCCACAACATAAAAACGCTCTTACTTGTGTTCTCCCACCCCCTTCTGCAGGTGAACGAGAGCAGCCCGAGTACATACATGACTGCTGGAGCCATTCTTACTCATGCGGAAGCTCCGGAACCCAATCACACAGCCAAAAGCAGTATGCACAGCAAAGCACGAAACCGGTAACTCAGTATCCACTTTCAGCCTTTCGAAGCAGAAGCAGATCTCGAAAATATTAACTATGATTACGCACAAAAGCGATAATCTCGCAAAAAAACCGCTCTTATTGAAGTATCCTAATTCAAATGAAGTTAAAGGGACGCGTGGTCCCACAACGAAGTGGACGACTTGCGCCCGTAAAACTCGTCCGGCATTTATTACGGGTGTAGGTTTAGGCGAAAGTCGTAATCACGACATCGAATAACATCTATAGACAACGTTTCAGCGAAAAAAATTCTGAGTTTTTGGGGTAACAATGGTGCCCTAGAAACTTAAGGCGTTATGCACAGAAAGGAAAGGAAGATGGAAAAGAAAAGAACAGAAACATTAAACATGAACAAACATGAACGCGGCCCCGTTGAATTTCACCCGTCCCAATCGCGCGATCCAGTTCGCGCGAACTGGATCGATAGCGAAGTCTGAACGTTGTCGAAGAGTGATTAGATGGTGCGGCAGCATGTGTTCTAGCTAAGAGTCAGTGCACCCCTTTCCAAAGACCCGTAATCATCGGACCGCTTGCCAGCCTGGTCGGAAGACCGCCCCACCGTCAGGTGAGAACCCCACTGTGGTGAAAGTGGAAGTTTGATACGTATGCACTTCCTCTTCCGCAACATCTTTTATGAACGCGGCCCAAGAGAATCCCATCGTGAAAAAACTGGAACTGCAGAGGCGAAACGTCTTGAAAACTGTCCCTGGAAATCCTCTGTGTCCCCTGCTAAAGGCGGCAATGAAAGTCATCGATCGGGATAATGCACCGCGGTTCCACAACGACTTAAATGGTCCGCCAACTTTTCCAGATGGAAATATAGGCGAGAATGTAAAACAGTAAGTTGATGAAAATATTGAAAGTGGAAGAAAACCTAGAAATAATGCGAGACAACGTTGTACCACGAATCATTAAACGTGGAGAAAAGGAGAGCCGACAAAATCGTTGACTGTCAGGAGGTCGTTTCAAAACGGCTTGCGTACCTGACGTCGATTTCAGACCGCAACGGCAAGCATTCCGTATAATGAGGAAACTGAAGGTAACTCTTCCACTTCTTGCTCTTCCCCTTCTTTTGACCGCCACCTATCAAAGTGATACATTATTTTGCAACTGATTTGCAATGGACAGGGAATTCCGATGCACTGCATACATCTTTAACTGCATTTACGGATTAAGATAACTCACTCTCTCTAGCTTTTATGTAGACGGTATTCGCAACAATGTTCTCGATCTCCATGTGACTTCCAGGTGGGTAGGTGGGTAAGATAACTAGGACGTCAGAATACAGACAAATAATTGGGATGTGAACGTGAAAGAGAGAAAGACGAAAACGGTTGTCATCAATGCCGATGGAACGTTCGCAAAGCTTAACACACTGTCATTATTCATGGGAGCCCTCTGTCCCTTTCGCTCTCAGCCGCTCGTCCAGCCGATCGATATCTCACACAAGAGAGATTTGGCAGGCCGGGGAATCGTAGCAACCGTAACCCAAGTTGCGATTGGAGCGCAGGGTTGCATTGGAGCACGAGAGTGGAGCCTTCCAAGCTATTGGTCTTGAGGGTCGCATCTAGTAATACAGCATCCGCGCGGCACGTTTCACGCACGGCGCTCCTGGCATTTTGCCAATCTTTGGTGATTCACGCTTTCCAGTGCGGTTGGGTACCTCGCGCTGCTGTTCTTAAATTGAGAAATGATCAGGGTTTCTTCTATAAATTGCGCAACTGCCTCTCCGCTGACCCCACACAAAAAGGAAACCAAGTTCTCCCATCCATTGCATTGAAAATGATTAAGTACACTCCTTCGCTTCTTGTTAGCAGCCACAAATGTGTCATTTACAGATTTTTGTTTTTTTGTAGTTCATTGAATTTTATTTCATTTCAGATTGAAAACTATTTCGGGGGAACTCAGATTTGATTGTTCTTCTCAAATTATCAAGTGTTTTACGACCTGATGAAGTATATCAAGAAATGTAACGATTGCCTAAATTTCCTGTTTTATTACAACTGAATGTGTCAGTAATCCTGTCAGAATCAAATGATTACAAGAGGATAATGAATGACAGAGAAGAAATTTATCTAGAGCAGTTATATATGGATCTGACAAGGGAGGTCGTTCAGGGCGTGGTGCGCTTTTCGAAAACGGTTTTTGCATATTGTAGGGGCTCATGCAAGGACCTGAAAAGTGTGCTTCATTTCCAGGAAAGGTAAAAAACTAGTGAAAATCTGCTGGAATGGAATCTGCTTCGTTCTGGGCCTCTATACGGCGTAGGTCACTTGCAACTTTGACCAGTTGCTGAGTGGGGGGTCCTTATAAAGGGGCTATTTGAATCGAAGCGAAAAATCGCCGCAAGTGAGCTTCCAACTTGGGTCACGTGCTCAAGGGTGAACGGCTTCTTGCAATGGTTTCATCAACGATTAGAGCGCTAGCAGAGTCGAGCATCGGATGGCCTAGCGGATAGAGTGGAGGTTTCGCAATCGGACAGTGAGGGTGGGGTTGATGGTTCGGCTCCCCTTGCGTCGCGGCTTTTTGCATTTTTTAGATTTCGCTGTTCTCGCTTCCATTAGTGTCTGCGCATGAATATAACTCGGATATTTGCCATTTATGGGCACATTCTGAGTAGCTGTACCTCATGAGTCAGTGCTATTCAACTATTTCGATTTTCACGCACCATTGAACAAGATTGTTGCTGGACGTTGATCCTCATAGGCTATACAGTGGATCTGATTGCGAATTTAGTAACTTCTGGTGTGGTGTCAATTATAGACAATTTGGGGCCACATCTTCTTTCCACTGAATTCGTTATGTACACCAATATAGGGAACGTTCAGCGCTATTCTGTCGCCAAATTGCGTGGACGCCAAGAATGTTATATTTGTGATCAGGACCACTGATTACCACTAAAAACGAATTTTCGGTCAAAACAATTGTTTTGACCTTCTTGGGTTTGCTTATTGGGTTGTCCGGGCATCCATAGCGTCAACGATACGTCATCGCTGTCCCAAAGCGGCGCCCTTTAAATTGGAAGTGTGTCGTAGGCGCGTCAGTGCACATCGTTGGTTGGGGAATCCGGGTCGTATATGGCCGCCAGGAGAGGGGAGGGGGGGGGTCGTAATGGTCATAAATCACACGGAATATTTCCTCAAAGACGATACGAATACTAGTCTTGCTAAACAGATGTTGGAGTTCGACTAGTATAAGGGCGTTATACAAGCTAATGTTTTTAATTTAGCGAAAGGAGCTGCCTTATCATTCTTTGAGCCGCCAACTCAGAGAATGGGGAAAATTTCGCGACGAGCGGCCAGAAATATGTTGAAATTAAACTTGCCAAAGATTGTTGTTTTGTAGTAAAACAGACAACCTATGCTGTTGTTACTCCGGCTGATGTGGCAAGTGTGTTTGCCTTTCCTGAAGTCGGCGAGAACGCCGGATTAGAGGTTGTTGTTCGGCAGATGATCTTTCCTTTATCTGTGACGGAGGTGGTTGTGCTTGCGCATTTTGGTGGGAAACATCATCCGACAAACAACGAGGAGCATACAACTTTACGCGGTTGACATGTACTACTTGTCGCATAGAGCGACCTACAAGGCTGCTTATGGTCACATTTGGTCGATCTACCGATTCAACCTTAAACGGACCTTTCCATTGGTTCGTTAGTTTCGGACGAACTGTGTCGTCATGTAACAGCACCAAATCTCCAATGGAAAGGCTCGTTGGGCATACCTTGTGAAGTAAGTCGTATCCTGTTTTGTAGAAGGACGACTTCTTGGCTATTTGGTTTCCAACTTCTATTATGGTGTTGTTCAAGCCGGCCGCGAACTGATCAGCGAAGTCATCCGAAGCGATGATGTGACGCTGAGGCAGCTCATGGAGTATGTCACTCCATGTTATTGGGTGTCTACCGTGAACGACGAAGAACGGGCTGTAACCTGTCGTCGCATTGATACTGCAGTTATATGCGAAGACGATAGGCTGGACAAAATCTGACCATTGGTGTCTGGCCTCCGCACAGTATGCTGTTAAGGAGTCAGTAATCACCTTCACTAGTCGTTCTGCTTGTCCATTAGCCTTATGGTTATAAGCAGTAGTAAATTTATTCTTTATACCGAGTGCTTTGTTGATTTTAGCATACACCTCGCTAGTGTAATTCGAACCACGATCCGAAACTATTTCGTTAGGGATTCCGTGCTTCGAAATAACATCATTGATCAGTGCTTTTACTACTGTATCAGTAGTCTGATCTTCTGCTGAGGTACACACTACAAATTTACTGAACGCACAAACGGTTATAGAAATAAATTTACTACCGTCCTCACATTGAGGTAGCGGACCAATTATATCTGTGTGAACACGTTCAAAAGGTCTCGTCGGGGTAGGGAAGGTTCCCATTTCCTCTCTGATTATACCTTTTGAAGGTGTTTTCACCTTTTGGCATGTCGGACATGTATTGATATACGTTGTAACGTCTTGATACAAGTTCGGCCAAAAGTACATTCTTTTATGCTTTTATACCAGTCGGATCGCCCGGCTGTCGCCGGGCGCTCCTCCTTCTGTGACATGGCCCGGCTTCGCCGGGCCATGCGGATTTGCCGCGTGCTAAGTTAAGGATCGTTGACCAACCACACTGTAAGGAATCTTCTGCATCAGCCAAGAACTGAAAAGCAGCGCTTGTTCCGTCAAGGCGCAGAAGCAGCAGCAGCCCCCCCCCCCGCATCACAGAAGGAGGAAAGCCGGCCTTAGCCAGCGATCCGACTGGTACGTTCATAACCTACACGGAAATAGTGCAGCCTGTTTGGACAGCCACTGAAGCAGCCTATAATTTATGCAATCTGTCTTCCTAAAGCGTCTTGCTTTGGAATGCACTACCGCATTCAGCAGTGGAACCCTTTAAATGGCCCTCACTGAGGTTGTTGATGGAAGATAATTGTGGTAAGAGTGATTAAGTCAAGTTGCTGCTGTTCATAACATCTCTGTAAACAAACCACATGCATTTGGAATAGAGCTGGCTTAGCGGTCGTACACGATGTCGTTACTAATAAGCAGTGAGGAATGAGTTCTGTTGGAATCACTGAGATCGTTATACTTGAGTCATATCGATCGCATTGTTGTTGTGAGCGGTGAAGCGGATTTTCCCATGCTACCTTGTCAATTTTAGCTCCTATCACTTCCGTACCCGCCAATAACACTCCCGTCCCGTATCACTATCATATCACCCTGTATCGCCTCTCGGATCAGAGGTCCCACTGTTGCTGTAACCTGCGTTACGAATCTGATGACCCTCCCCTTCCGAGGCCGCTTACCGTATCTTATCAACTGTTATCACTTTCTGTCGCCCGCCAATCCCGTCCCACACCCTATATCACCTCACGGATCTGAGTTCCCACTGTTGCTGTAACCTGCGCCACGAATTTGATGACCCTCCTCTTCCGAGGCCCCTTATCGGATCTTATCAACTGTTATCAGCTTCTGCCAGCCCCACCCTACGGCATATCAGTACTTGAAATCATGGTCCCGCCGTTGCTGCAACTTGCCACGAATTCGGTCACCCTCCCCTTTTAAGGCCCCTTATCGAATCTTATCAAGTGTTATCACCTCCTGTCACCCACAAAAGTGTTCCCGTCCTGCCATGTATATCACTCCTTGAAATCACGGTCCCGCAGCTGCTGCAACTTGCGCTACGATTTCGGTCACCCTCCCCTTCTAAGGCCCCTTATCGAATCTTATCAAGTGTTATCACCTCCTGTCACCCATCAAAGTGTTCCCGTCCTGCCATGTATATCACTTCTTGAAATCACGGTCCTGCAGCTGCTGCAAATTGCGCTACGATTTCGGTCACCCTCCCCTTCTAAGGCCCCTTATCGAATCTTATCAAGTGTTATCACCTCCTGTCACCATCAAAAGTGTTCCCGTCCTGCCATGTATATCACTCCTTGAAATCACGGTCCCGCAGCTGCTGCAACTTGCGCTACGATTTCGGTCACCCTCCCCTTCTAAGGCCCCTTATCGAATCTTATCAAGTGTTATCACCTCCTGTCACCCACCAAAAGTGTTCCCGTCCTGCCATGTATATCACTTCTTGGAACTGTCATCCTATCTTTTCTGCGACGCTCGCTATGAATTTCGTGACAGACAGACAGACGCACACACACACACACACACACACACACACAGACACACTTAGCGGATTATATATAGTAGGATGCTTTTGCTATTCCAAGATGTGATCCGAGAAGGGGATTC